TTTTTTTTTGAGTGGGCGTTCTCATTATGGAAGAAAGATGTTCTGAACAATTTGAGCATATTAATTGCTGGATACGTTTCCCTTGTTGTTTTATCATACTCAGATATCTTATGTGGGACTTATGATCTTGCGATCCATGTCGAAAGGTAATCACTGTGAGAGTATGAATGATCAAATAGATATCAGTATGTGCTATTTTGATTTCTTCTTACATACAATGGTAGCTGCGCTGAATATTCACGCTCTTTACAATAGCGAGTTGGGTTTTTACCAAAATTTTTTTGCTTATGCGAACACAGCTTATTTTCGAATGGGGACAGTTGATGGTTACTCTTTCACAGAGTGGGGATTGTCTATGAACAGAGATGATATGGAAAAGGTGTAAAAACTTAGTCTGTTTTTCATCTTGAGTCATGCGCTGCCTTGGTCAGTAAAATACTTAGGCCTTTTTAAGAAGAGAATAAGGTGGATAGGGAGCCTCCTAGCATAATCAGTCTTTTTCAGGTAAGCAGTGGTTCTCATCATCTGGAGTCGGTGCCATGCTCCTGTCCTCTTGCTCATGCTCGAGGAAGAGTGAAGCCTCGTGAACTTGCCTATAGTGCAGAAGATCTGGAGCAAGCAAAGAAGTAGGAGTTTTTCGGGCTTTGCAGTATTTTGAAAGAAAGTGAATTTTAGGGTAGCTGAAAATGGCGAACAGCCAGAGGAACTTGTGCCAATTCGTTTGGACATGGAATTGGATGGTGTGAAGTTGCGGGACACGTTCTGCTACAACAAAAATGAGAAGCTGATTACGCCAGATTTGGTTTGTGTACAGTTCTCATTCCTCTTTCTTTTTTCTTTTTTCTTTTTTCATATTTCTTTGTTTTCAGATTGCTGAAATGATGTGTGAGGATTTAGATTTACCAACCAGTACATTTCAACCGGCTATAGCATCCGCTATATATCAACAGGTTGGTAGCTATCCCAGCAGCTACGGAAAGCAGGGGCATGAGGTTCTGTAGGGTACCAAGATTACTTTTGAGCTCATAGAATGAAAATGATATATCTAGCTCGAAGCTGCTGCAGAAGCTCCACCATTAGA